TGAGAAATTTTAATTTCAAAATTTGAAAAAGAAAAAGAACAAAAATCTTATAGACATTTTAACTTGAATTAAAGTTTTAAAAAAGTGCTAAATTTAGAAACCAAATTAACGCGTGTAGGTTAACAAAGATTTTATACAATTAGAAAGACTGGTGATTTTAAATTTTAACAGGCAGTGTAACAGCTACGTAAGAATACACACCTGATGATGGCCATTTAGGGCCGAAACATGTAGTGTGGAGGAGGGAAAGAAAAAAGAACTACAATTAAATTGTTACACTTAAGACAGTGTTTGTCTCATATATATTGTGTAAGTGTAACAGGATGCTCAAATATAATATTGTACTCGAATACATAACTTCTGTGAAAATACTGCAGAATATAAAGAGGGTTACCTGCTGGTGTTGATAGGCTGTGGGTTATAAGGACCATCAGGATCTGCACCTGTCTTTGAGCTGTACCATTCATCATCATAGTTTTTGGACTGAGAGTAGTCTGGTGGCAGAGCACAACCAATGGCAGTCAAGCATGGAAGTGCTTTTCCAAACAGCTCTGGATCATAGTCCTATGTAAAATAAATATGTTATATATGTTATATGTTACTGATGTTAACTAAAGTAACTGCTTTACAGCATTTAAATTTTAGAAAATGAATTAGATGTCAATTGTAATACTGGTTAGTGCGGTTTATTCTAGAATTATAACTACAAATTACCATTTTAGAGAGAGAATCAAAGATGTTGCTGAAGAGCATCATAGTCAACCTCTTCTCTTCATCACTGGAAGCACCATACATCCCTTGTCCTGATGTAGAACCATAATACTTGGCACACCTGTCATAATGCAGCATCAGCAACTGGAACATAGAAGTTAGTTGAAAAATGTAAACTGTAATAATGGGTTAAATTTTATTTCCCTATTGAACTTTATATTATTGCACTGTACAATCTACAATGTAAAAGTCCGATGAATATTGTACTGTATTTTATTTCATCCGTTTTGCTACATAGTAACACTAGGACAAGTCATTCGGTAATACAAGTTAACAAAATAAATCTACAAAGTTACAAGCATACTACCAACATTTGTTACACTCATAAGCAATATATAAATACAACATTCCAAAAATATACAAACTACTATATACAGCTCATGAATGGCTATGACATCCAAACATAAGTACTTGCACCATCCACTTTTTTATTAAAATTAACAAATTCATTTATCATATGAAAAGAATGTTTCAATAAAAATGATTTTAAGTCTTTTTTAAAAGCTGAAAACCCACCAAGTTTTTATTTTGTTTGGTACCTTATTATAAAATTCTATCCCCATATGTAATCAGCTTTCAAAGATCTTCCAACAAATTATTTGTAATATTTTGAAATGTTTAAATATGTTATCAGAATTATCTGATTTCTATTTTACTTGTAGGACAAAAGCCTCTGTCTTCAAAATATATTATTCTTAATACAAGCCCTTTAAAATATAATCCTATAATACTAGATGTTACTAGCAATGAAATAAAAGCTGAAGTAGCAATGTGTGCGTGTGTGCGTGGGCATGCATTACTATTTGATCTAGTCAGCCAATCAAACATACTCCAAATCATAGAAATTAAATGGCACAACATAAAAATATTATTAACTTGAAATTACATGCCAAAAGAAAATTTTGACAATCCTACTGTTCATAATCTTCCACCATACTAAATTTCTGAATGTGGGGTCATAAAGTGAAAAAGAAAATGTATAGTTCACATTGTCACTACTTTGTTATTCTCATTTATTTAAAAAAAATAGTCTTACCAATTTTTAAGCAGAAAACATTTTGCTAAAGCAAGAGACAGACTTTCAGTATACTCAAGTGAATGATATTCTCAAACAGTTTCCAAATGTAAATTGTTGAATATAGGGACTTAAAAAGTCCAGTGGTGTAATAGCTTCAAATTACATTGACCTTCATGCCAATTTTCATAAAATCAAGCTATTGCTTCAAAACTGGAGGAATGACAAATATAAAGACATAGAGATATCATAATCATTTCATTTATAAACATATCTGAGTAAGCAAGTATGAATAAAGCTCACTGAAGTATTGAAAGTGCGGAATGAGATTAGAAGGATCAGTTTTCATCTTCTTCTGAGTTATAAAAGAAAGAATCTGAGCCTCTACAACTTAAAAATTATACAATTACGAATTAAATATATTGCATTTAGGGCCTTGAACTTTAATGGAGTACTGATATAAAAGTTTTCAGTTTAAATAATTCTACTGAATAAGGATATCCAAAAGTCAAATTTCCACAACTCCAGTGACATATCTCACGTTTACCTGGGCGGGATTTTAACCTTTCTTTTAATGTCATATGAGAGGAGCAGAAACAATACTGAAACACCTTCCTGGAGATTTTACTTTGTGTTGTGTTTATAACAAATATATTGTGACATGTTGCGCAAAGGAGACCCCCGCCCCACCAGCAGTGACGCGGCGNACAACTCCAGTGACATATCTCACGTTTACCTGGGCGGGATTTTAACCTTTCTTTTAATGTCATATGAGAGGAGCAGAAACAATACTGAAACACCTTCCTGGAGATTTTACTTTGTGTTGTGTTTATAACAAATATATCATGCACATATATACAAATTATNTCAGTTGTACTGTAACAGTCGCCGAGTCGAGTTGTACTGAGTCAGTCAGTGAGTCCTGGAGCTACCGCCGAGTTAGCCAGCAACTAGTCAGTTGTATTCTGGCATTTGGAGTGTACTAATTGTGATACTGCAGATAGCAGTAACCGTAAATCTGTAATTTGGGTGATTGTAAGTGCGAATGTGAAATAAAATTCGCTACATCAAATATATCGAGAAGTTATTTGTCGCGATATACGCCCAATACGCGACAATATCATGGACACATATACAAATTATTAACTACTTTTCTAATTTATAAAGCCAGTTTTGATTTTTCTATTTAAGTTGTGAATATTCAGGTCAGTACTAACATGAATTTAGGCCATAGTAATGCAAATCTGAACTGGTATTAATCAATAATCTATCAATTCTTGGGCATGAATAATGTCAGCCTCATTTACACATATCAAATTTGAGAGAGAATAAATCTGTCACAATGAAACTGCAATAATTTTATAAAACAAGTGCTGCAATTATGTACTGATGCTATAAAAGCACCATGGCAACAAACACAGAAAAACATTTCACAGCCATTACTTTCCAGATTAGTCTTTATTTATATTTACTATGTTGTTCATTTCTGCTCTGTGTCATGTCAGTCAATTACAAGATCAATATGAGTGGGGGTTATTGTTAACCCTTTTGCGTGGTCATTTAAATTCCGCTGCCGTGTCTCTCCGGCGGTAATATATTCAGCCGTCCATTTAAATTTTGCTCGAAAATGATTTATTCATCATTGTTCTTAAATTATATGAGATAGGAACATGAAACTTTCATTAAAATGATCTTAAAAGGTGGTTTTATAACCTTGCCTTATAATATGAGCGCCCGGTATCTCGGCAATGGAAGCAGTTGGTTTAGAATTTGAGCAGTGTATCGTACGCCTTGAAGCATGAAACTTTCACTAAAATGATCTTAAAAGATGGTTTTATAACCTTGCCTTATAATATGAGCGCCCGGTATCTCGGCAAAGGAAGCAGGTGGTTCAGAATTTGAGCGGAGTGTGGTACGCATTGAAGCATTCTGCTATACACAGCGCTGTCTCACATTCACCACACCAGTACTGCGTATCTCTCATTTGGCTCTTTTTTCCGTAAACCAAACATCTTCTGTGCGGCCTTGCCTTCTTCCCCGTGGGGGGAATACAAGAATTAATGTCTCTCCATGAGTCATATCGCTAGCCAGATTAGCTGCAGTAAATTCAACCTTTATGTTATCATAACAAGTGTTGGTGCTTCTGCGTTTCATTTTCCATCCATTTTGGCGGCATAAGACGTCGTAGGGGTGACCACAGAATTCATGAAGTTATTCTAAGAACTGGCTGGTATGTAGTGAACGAAAGCAGAGCTTAGCTGGCTCAAAAAAAATTTTATGGTCATCCCTCGAAACGACCACCAAGGTCAGTACGATAAAATGGAGTCAACTGGAGCGATAATACATGAAGGAATGAGTTCTTTTCCCTCCCCCACACACACCCGTATCGTCACAGGGGGTGACCACAGTGTTCTGCCTTAATTTGTGGCGTTTTTCTAAGAACTGGCTGCCATGTACTGTGCGAAATCAATCGATCTTGCAAGAATAAAATTTGGACATCCCTCTTCTAAGAATTCCAATTGAGTGTGTTAGTGTGGCCAGCTCAGGGCAATATGATATTATAAACACAGCACATATCACGTCTCTGCTGTTTATAACTTCATAGGAAAGAAAACACGCCATTCATAACAGTTTGAATGAGGAAACCTCTACCAGAAGCAACAGGAATTTGCTGCAAGACAGGCATATGTAACGATGACTTAGCGCTCCTAAACTCGTGTCTCATTAAATATAGTTCTCCTGACAACAGGCCAGCGAAAAATCTAACAATCTACAGCAAAACCATCAATTATTATTTGCGTTATAATATAGGTGTGCAGCTGGACGAAACATAGACGTCGAACCCCCGCAGACGATTTAAATACCTTGACGAAACATACACGTCAAACCACGCTGAACGGTTAATAAATATTCCAAGAGTATGTGCCTTATGCAATACTGGTACATACCCTCAGTGCTACTGTGGTGTACTCCGTCAGCTTGGAAACATCAATGGTTAGTTTCCTCAACAACTTCAGTAACATGCTTGGTTGCATTTGACTGAAATAGAAATTCTGTTAATGAGATCTAAAAGTTTGTGACAGTGGTACATCAATACAAATATTATGTTTCTGGCCATTATCAATCGACCTGTTTTTGTCTAAAAGACCGTCGGGATCATCCAGAGATAGGAACAGCTATACTGATTGGGCCGAACTGAGTAGGTTTTACCTGAAGACAGAGACAGAATCCAGTATCTGAAACATTATTTTTAAATAAAAACAGGATGATGAATAATGTCAAGAAACATAACATTTGTATCAAATTCTCTGTTGTTTATTATTAAACACGAAAACCATAATGGTGTTTCCAATGTCTGTTGTATTTATAAATAAGTGCCATTTCAAAGACAAAACTGACTTTTCAGTTCCTGTGAACAATACTTTATTTAGAGGAAAGAGTGCAACATTTATACATCACACACATGTAACCACTGGATGGGATGCTGGGTGGGCCCCAGAGCCAGTATGGATGACATAGAGAAGAGAAAATTTTTGACCCTACTGGGACTCGAACTCTGACCCCTCGGTTGTCCAGCCAGTAGGAAGTTGATATACTGTCTATGCTACCTTGGCTCTCCTCCTATATGAACCATTCATTATTCTAAACTCAAGCATTATAACTCACACTATAATATTTCTTCATTTCTTAGAATATATAATAATACAAAGATCAAGACTCCTGGTTCTTTGTACTACTCATCTGGACTTCTAAAATAAAGACACCAAATATCTGAAAATTAACGTTTATCTGAAATATTAGAATTACCAATGTACAGATTACTCTTTTACCTATACATAGATGACACAACTATGATACTGTTTGTCATGAAAGATTTTTCCACACTTCTTTCGGTCTGTTTTAAGTTTATTAAGTTTAGTCTCCCTGTGTGCTCTGATAATTCAAGATTGCATATAAGTAGGAAACAAGATGGAGCAATGGCTTCATGTTGTATATTATTATTTTAAATTTGTAATTTGTACAACTTTACCAAATTTTGATCAAGTTTCACTCAATCAGGAACATAAGGTATAAGGTATATGATATTTACCTGGTAAGTGCCACGAGAAAGTCTGATACAGCTTCTCTCTGACCCTTGGTAAGCATTCTGTTTTTGGACAGCCTATAAACTGTATGCAAGGTGGCATCCAATAAATTGGCATAATTATCAGCTTCATTGTAGAATGAAGAGTGTTTGATAAGAAGTGGCAAGATGGAATTGCCAATGTAACGATTCATTGCTAATGCCATATCAGATTCATAGCCATCATTCTGAAATCAAACAAAACTTATGGAATATAGTGTAGTAGCTAATTTTGTTTGAAACTGTCATTTTACCATTCCTCAGCATGATGTATGCTCAAATACCATCTTGGGCATTTATGGAAAAACTGTACATTAAGGAATTTACAAGCCCTCCTTTTATATAATATTTTAGAACTAGGCTAAAGAGAGTGACTTAAAGTAGGAGCAACGTTTGTGTACCGGCTGTTCATAAAATCTCTGTGCATCTCTACAAATTGAATGCATCCTGTGAAAGAGAGATCCATTGTCATACTAAAACATAAACGCAAGCTTAACACCTGGACACCATGTGAATATCTTATACAAATGCAAGTACGAGGGTCGTACTGAAAGTCTTGAGCAACAATCTTTTGTAAAATAACATGTTTTATTATTGACAAACCAAATACACCACCTCAATCAACAGACCTTTCTTTATCTTTCCACATAATCGTCACTCCTTTGCACACATTTCTCCCAGCGTTCTGGGAGTTTGAAAATTCCCCTTATGTAAAATTCCGTTCCAGCCATCCAAAGACACTGACGCACTGCTTTCTGAATTGCCTCCCTTGTCTCAAAACGTTGTCCATGCAGCTGATCCTTCACAAATCAGAAAAGATGGTAGTTGGAGGGTGCCAGATCAGGGCTATAGGAGGGGTGTGGAAGAACTTCCCACCCCATCTTTGCAGTTGCTTCCAATGTGAGGCGAGAGGCATGGGGGCGAGCATTGTAATGCAGGATGATGATGTTTTGTCCAGGACGTTTATCACGCAATGCACGACGGAGCTTGTGCAGCGTCTGGACATGATGAGCATAACTGATGGTTTGCCCAGGTTCCAGGAATCCGCCCAGAATAAACCCCTCTGCATCCCAGAAGACTGTGCTGATCACCTTTGCAGCTGATGGCACTGTCTTTGCCTTCTTTTTTGATGGAGAATGCAAATGGTGCCATTCCATACTCGGCCGATTAGTTCCAGGCTCGAAATGGTGAAACCAGCTGTCATCACCTGTCACAATACAGGGCAAAAAATCATCACCTTTGTGTCGATATCTCTGCAGCAGTTCTGAGGTGATGGCTTTTCACTGACCTTTGTGGACTTCGGTCAATAACAGCGGGACCCAACGAGCACAAACTTTTCTATAGCCCAAGCTTTCAATCATCTCCTGTACTGCACTGTGCCTTATTCCAAGTTTTCGGGCTACTGCATCCACAGTCACACGCCTGTCATCTTGAATGATCTCATCCACTCTTTCCTTGTTGCGTTCAGTTGAGGCTGTTTGAGAACGACCGCTCCAAGACTCATCTTCGATGCTGGTGTTCCCATCTTTAAAATGTTTCACCCATCTTCGAACACGGCTCACACCCATGCACACACTTCCATAAGCATGCTGAAGTCTCTGGTGAATTTCTGCAGCAGGGATTTCCTCTTTCACAAGAAATTCAATGACAGCATGCCGGTGAAATTACATATCGTTGTCGGCCATTTTGTTAGGAGTAATACTGATCACGTGATGCAAGCTACTGACATCACAAGACACTCAAAAGTTAACACAACAGCAGGTTCCACCTACCACCATACTGTCTTTCGTCTGCTGTTCCCAGGTTGCATGCAAAAAAAAGTTGTTCATGACTTTCGGTATGNATATCGTTGTCGGCCATTTTGTTAGGAGTAATACTGATCACGTGATGCAAGCTACTGACATCACAAGACACTCAAAAGTTAACACAACAGCAACAACAGGTCTGCTGTTCCCAGGTTGCATGCAAAAAAAAGTTGTTCATGACTTTCGGTATGACCTACATACATGTAAGTTATATTAATATCATAAAAAACTCCATAAAATTCTCTCTGAATTTCCTGTTTATGAACCAGTAACCTTGATTTCAAAACATTTTGATTTTAAAAGAGGCTCATTGTTAACACAGCATATGGGGATGGTTGTGTTTCGGTGTAAATGACAGGATTTAATACATATTGTCTCACTCAACAGTGGTGAATATTGGCTTAAAGAGATTTATACTGAATAAAAAACAGAAACTGTAGAATTTCCATACACACAATAAGAGCTGGAGATTTTATATAAAAATGGAAACACTATCATCTGTTATCTTGAAAATTAATTAATTGTATGGTTTCCTGCTTACCCTGTCCAACATGGTGGCCGCTCGGAGATCAGGAAGGAACGCATCTTCCAGGAGCTTATAGAACAATTCTTGAGTCTCAATACCATACACTCTCTCAAGGAAGAGAACTATACTCTGTTTATTGCCAGGAATGAGACCAGATGGCATGTCACTCTTAGGCCGTTCCTCTCCTGCTGCAGGATTTGTCTGAGTGAACCTCAGACTCAGTACCCCTTGTAGATCTTCCAGAGGCACCAGTGACCGCAGAATGGCTCTTGCTCGGAGAGACTCATTTTTCCCCTAGACATTAAATAACAAATACCTGAGAAGTAACTGCACTTCTTGCTGTGGAGGTTTACCATAAAAGAATGTTGATAGACTCACTGCATGAAATCACAAGAGAACTATTTTGAAAGGAATAATCTGGATTAACTGAGCAACATGGCTTAAGTGGTACTGCTTCTGACTTATATTTGGGAGGTATCAGTTCATATCTTGGCTAGGACACTGGCTATCCTGACTGAAGTTTCCTGTGATTTTCCTCAGTCCCTCCAGGAAAATTCCAGGGAAGTACTTCAAATCAGGTTGGGGCTACTTCCTTCCACATGCTGTCCAATTCATTATTCATTTTTTTTTTCACTATTCACTATTATCTTGAATATGATAGCACTGTCAAATAAATCATACATAAATAACATAAAACAAATAACATGGAATAGATGCCAAAAGTGTTAGGGATGGGAAAAAAATGCAATATTGGAATGTTATAATAGAAGGTACAAACAACAGGAAATATATACTGTTATTTTAAAGTCAGTTTTTGTTTTGTGGTTCTATCTTGTTTTTCAACAAATATTTAAATTGTAAATAATATCGCACATTTATTAAGTTATCTTCCACTAAATAATGCCAGCAATATCCGAAAATTCAAATGATCTTGTCAAAAGATATACTGTTTTCCATAGTTAGCGTAAAATTTGTCAAAAGTAACCTGTGCAATGACAGAAGCATCTGGAGCACAGCGACCAAGAAGATCCACCAAAGTACAGTAGAAGTTAAGAATGGCTGCTCCAGTGTCAATGTAATCTTCATCTTCATCACTCTCTGGCAGTGGATGTTCAAACTGCAGTACTGACATTGTTCCTTCTGCTTCATCCATCAACTTCCTTCTGTCAGCTATGCGCTCTGACATCTGAAATTATGGTAAATCATTAATTACTCAAAAATCTAACTACCGGCAAAATTTTACAGAGATGTGACACTGCTTTGTCCTTCATGAAAACTCGAAATTTTGCTATTTTTTCACTGAAGTGAAGTGCCATTTCAGGTATGTTTATAAATACATAACTGTCATCAGTTTGGTAGGTACTATGCAATAGAAATCTTACAAAAAATGCACCTACACAAAGTGTTTCCTAAAAATGTTCAGGTTTTCAATGAGCAACAAACATGTTGTTCATCTAATTTTGAGTATTTCATTGTTGAAAAATATTAGCAACAGCTCAACAAGTGAATTCCTATCAGTAATAGAAACATTTGATTCATTCCTCCCACGCGTTGTTCTATTCATATTTAAAGTACTACCACTTTTTTAACACCAACATTATAAGATTGTAAGAACAGATAAGTTCTACTGCAGTAGCTGAACAGCCTCAGCACCTCAGTATTACCATGATGTATCTACAGTTTGATTTTCAGATCTATGAAATATAAAAATATTTTACAATTAACCTTTGCATTTTATCACACTGTAGAACACAGTAGAACTTATTGTCCCTTGCTGCTCTTAACATACAATAATATACTAATGTATAAAGGACAATTAAACCATATGGTCAAATGACTTCAGGAAACAGCAGATTTAAATGGAATGATAAAGGAATAAATGTCATTAAGACCGGTGGCACTGACTACTGTGTATGACTGCCTGAAATAATAAAGATAGAACCAACCTTGTTGGCATCAATGATGGCTCTCAGCAATCCTTCTCCTTCACCTCTCAGTGCAGGACCTAAGCATTCTGGCCGACGGATCAGAAGACGAATTACAAGGTTGGCATTTTCTTCCACACTCTCACCTATGAATACAATATATTACATATACAATTCGTTCTAAGTCTTATATGTTAATGAAAGGTGATGTTACAAGAATGTTGACACCTCTGCCATGCAGCAAACTTATGGACTGGCCTGCACTTTGCCCAGGTGTGTGCTTACTAAGTAACTCACTGTAATAAGCAGAACTGTAACATCTATGATATTTTGTATGCTGATAGTATGCAGAGGGAAAAATTATTCATAGCACAAAATTTGCCACTGTGCATAGAAATTCTGGTCATATGTAATAATGTTGTGTGTAGACCCATTATTGGGTAATGACCTCGAAACAAACAATGAAACAACATTTGCTGCTAAGCAATAGATTCTTAACAAGCAAGCATACGCTGCCGTGACTGAGTAATGCCTTAGCACACAAATACCTTCCCTTGGAAATGATTGGAGTACAATGATGAATGGTGTTTTCTACACAGTCCATGCTGAGATGTTATAACTGAGGCAAGTTCAGAAGTTAGTCCATTGTGAGAGGGTTGTAAGGAAGTGTGTGAAGAGCAGACTTAGCTGACATACAGAAGTTGCTGAATCTCCATTGTCAAGATCTGATACTGGGAAAAGACTAGTGAAAGCAGACTGAGAAGGCTTAGTGTGTGCTGTGGTGATATGTAAAACTGTGGAAATTAGAAACGGTGTTACAATTACTTGTAGTTATGATTTGTACGTGGTCACTAAATCCAATCTCCCAATCCAAACCCCATCTATAGTCACTCATATACATGACAATGATTTACAGTTTTGAGTTACTATTTAGATGCACAATGGGAAGTTTACTATTAAAGAATAAAGAAGTTCCATATAATGTTAACTACTGAAAACACTGGTATTTTCTATTTATCTGTTTCTCATGCAGCAAACAAATATGAATTTGAATTACCATTGACCCAGACACAGAATCGTAAGAAATCCAAATATCTCTCTCCTTCCACTGGATCCCAACCTAGGTCTGGATAGCCTTTCTCAAGAAGCTCCGAGTTGGATTGTAAACCACAACGAGAAAGATAGATAGCAATTTTTTCCAAGTAGTGTTCTCTGAAAAATGAACAGTTTCAAATTATCATACAAATAATAACTGTTCAAATAACTATATGGCATGCTGTTTACAGAATTTAAATAGTTACAATCAATGGGTAAGAAATGCATGAAGTACTGTAAATAGTGTAAATCTATTTCATGAAGGGAAATATGATGTAAGGCAGGAAGCTAGTAAGGTGACTCTTCAAGAGCACTAACCGAAGTGCCAGTGCAAGTTCAGTATTCTCCATCAGGGAGGAATAAGCCACATCTAGAGGTGTACTCCCACGCAAAGATGGTCTTGACAGAAGGATGTTACTGTTCTCCAAAAGAAATGCGAAATGGTCAAACATGGCTTTCTGGTTCTGGCGTGAAGTTCTGCAGAAGTAGCACAGGAATCGGCAACAAGCTACCACCATCTCATGAGAGGTATCCTAGTGTGAATAATATAAAAATGGTGACAATCAAACAAATAAGAGTATTCTTCAGAATATACATACCTCAACATTTTTATACCATTTTCAGTATTCCTCTATTTATGCCACAAATATCTTTGCAAGAAATACACACATACACTGCAATATGAATTGCAGTGCAGAATTTCATTAACAGATAATGAATTTAATAATGTTGTATATTTTATCTAGTGGACATTTGAGAGTGATGTTACTCATAATTTTAGAGAACACAAGTCTTTTGGACAGCACACATCAGCAAGAAATTTTGACTGGAGAATATCCTAACACAAAAGTGCACAGACACACTTTAATATCAAGTTCCTGGATGGAGCTCTGACCCAGTCAATGCAGGGATTTTAAAAACATATACTGAATCAAGGGTTAGTATCAATATAATTCATGTTGTTATTATTTGAAAATTCTGCCGTTACATTTAAAATCCTAACATTAAGCAAGTTTTAAAAGCACTGAGAACTCAGGAGGGGCATTTCAAAGATTCCAAACAGTCAGGCCTTGTAAGTTTAATGTTATAATTTTTCTGTAATTTATTTCCTCACAGTAAAAATCCTAATCCAAATTTTTGTATTCTGCGATGAAATATACTACAAAAAATGAAGTGTAATGACACATCCAAATTCATAACCATGACAATTTACTAGGATTTTACAAATTGCATTTACAATGTAACAGATTGATAGCTGGTTTTCCTTGTGTTTACAAACTGTCATCATACAAACTTTAGACTATGAATAACGATTAATCATCAAACTAAAATATTCTACACAGCCACCATATTGTTCCTTCTTATTTCCCTATAATATTGCCCTAATAAGTGCTGTATACTTTTCACAGCTCATAAGTCAGTGTGGATTTCATGTTGGCATGGTTTAAGACAGGAACTTAAAACATGTGATGATGGGATGGCCTTCGAAGGCATGTTATTTACTTCAGATTTAAAAACTGTTAACAGTAACAATGATATCCATTCTGAATCAAGGAATATGTGGAAAGACACATATAGAAATAGTAATTATGTAAAGGAATGAGTTCATTTAAAAAACTAAAATGGACAAAGTAAGATAAAAAATTACGATGAATTTCAACCTTCTCCTTTGGAGGTGCTTCTCCTTCTTGGCCTGTGGCTTGAGTTTGTACTTGGGTATCTGATTGGGCCTGAGCTCGTCTGCCAAGAGTATTCATCATCACTGCCATCACATTCTCATGGACACGTAAGATTCTTATCAAGTCAGGATGCTGGAAGAATGTATGGTTGTTCACCAGCTTCCTATAAAATAAGATACAAAATACATTCTACATCTTCTTACAATCTTCAATTTGCATTCTAGTTAACCCAACTTTTATAATAAAAATATAAATTTAGGAATATCTTTAAATAACAATAATTATTATTATTAATTGAAATCAACTTACCACAGTCGCTCTCTCATAAGCCCCTCCTCTTCTTGCGACATTTGCACAGGTAAGAGAGACCTTATCTGACTTAAACCGACCCACATTTGAGAAACATCATCCTTTGTCTTACTGTTAATGACGTATGTTTTCTGCAGTGCTCTAATGAGCTCACCAATGCTGTCATACTGCCGAACCAACAAGCTACAAAATGAAATTATGATACTTTCATAGTTTACACATTTAAAAAAAAAATCTGTATACCTATGTGAAAGTATAATATTATTATGAACAAAAAACAGCAAAATGAAATAATATAATCTGACAGTAAGTGACACCATATCTGAAATTCTCAGAGGCTCATATATGAGATAAACATTTGCCACATATCAATACTAAAAAAAAAAATCATTTGTATGATTTCAGTTATAACACTATCATAATGGAAGAACTCTGAAGAACTAAGAGTATTGGCTGCCAAAACATAATAATCATTTAACAACTTTGCAAAGAACATTAAGTGAATAAAGGTTTGAATATTTATAACTTAATTTTAGGCAAGTAGTTTTTGATTTAAAGGTGAAAGCAAGGGAACATAAGTGGAGTGAAAATGAAGAATAGTATTTATGGGAGGATATGGTTGAGTTGAAGAGGCTTTGTCACAAACAGCAGCAGTAAATATGTATGAAAAAATAATTCTTGTAAACTTACCTGAACATTTCTCGTACAAGCTTAGGTGTTTCAATCTGTGACTCCTCAGCCCATCTTACTATGGTGCTAATCAGTATCTTTCTGAATACCTCTGAAAGAGTTAGATGACATATTTAAGTATACAGTACATTATAATTAGGCATGCTTCATGTGTAAAATACTTCATACTTCGACTTAATTGTTAACCTGACAGAAAAATGTTAATACAATATTTCCAAGTCTGTCTAAAATGGTGTATAATCTAGTTAATGCTGTTAATTTAAAATGCACTACACAAGTGCTTACCTTTGTGGACTTTACAAGATGACTTGTGAATGTACATTTTACTTAATGTAACTAGTGTTAGGGTATTCCAAATTAATTTAATACCATATAGTACTCTTCTACACTAAGAAAAATCTCTTTTATATAAGATACTTACTTAATTTCTATGATAATTATTCTTTATTCCAAGTGTAAATGTAATGATCTTACAGAATTTAATAAGCATGAATTTAAAAAATTGATTGATCTACACATTAAATTCCCTGCCTTGTGCCTGAATTGTGTCAGCAGAAAGTACATTGATGCTTGTAGATACAACAACTTTTAAATTTTTTATGAATAAAATTCAATTCTAATGCCAATGGCACAGCAGAATGTATTTCAGTGTGTATAATTTATCAGCTCAATATGCGGAAAGAATTTTTCTCCTTTTTAGAAAGACTGTTAATATTACTTCTCAAGGTAACAATATCTGCTTAAAAATGAACAAAATTTTGGAAACAAACTGCTACTACTACTACTACTACTACCACCACCACTACTACCGCCACCACAACCACCATCACCACATAACTTTTGCAAAAAATTAAACTGAAGTTAAATGCATTATGGCAACGTGGTAAGGGTAACATTCATTACATTTATTGGGAAATTTGTGTATTGGTTAAAATCTTATCAAAGGTCATTTTTCTGTCAGTCCTAACCAGTGAATCACATGGTGGAGACTGTAAACACAAATATTAACACCATGTTGTCACATCAAATTAAAATTTTTATTGCTTCTTCCATGATAATTATGCATTGGTCAAAATATTATCAATGGACATTTTCATCTCAGGGTTCATCAAGGAATTGCAGGGTGAGTATGTAGGCAAGAACATCCATATAATGTTATTATACTGCATTTAACTTTCATTACTCCTGCCACAAACATTATGGGTTGGTCAAAATTTTATCAATGTTCAACAATATGTACATATTTTGTATTGGAGCCTGTAGACATGAATCTTCACACAATGTTCCCAGATCCCATTTAACTCTAATGACAGTTTCTGTGAAAATGATGCACTGGTATTAATTTTATTACGTGGAATTTTCATCACAGTTTTCATGGAGGAAACACATGGTGGTATCTGCATGTGTGAATATACATACCAGGTTGCCATACAGTACTTAATTGTAATTGCATCAATACAATGTGTAGGATCATATTCTGAAATGTAGTATTTGCATACTTTATGCACCACAATATTTATATGTGATTTTTCCCTTCATAAACAAAATTATGTGAGTAAATGTGGTGGCAGTGCCAGTGGTGAAGGTATGTACTAGCACTGGGGGCTGTGGTAGTGTTGTTGTTGTTGTTGTTGTTAGTAGTAGTAGTAGTAAACAATAGTAATAATTCTTCATTGATTTTAATGCTGAACTCAATAGCCATAGGCCAATTACAGAGTCAGCATAAGTTTAAAATAACAAAAACATGCAGAAAAACAAATAACAATAAAGACTACAAAGGTAAATACGAATAGAAAATAAAGACCAACACTGGAATGGACACAGGTCAGTCAGTACCAGAGCTGTCTTCAACATAATCAACATGTTACAGATTTCATGGCCAGTATCTAACCTTCAGGTGATTTCTTTTGTGGCTCATCCTCTTCTTTAGGCTCTATTTCCAATTCTTTCACAGCATTTATAATATTACACAAACGCTTAAATGGTCCAGGCTTTACAGCACCTGCAGCAGGTTCCTGCAGAGAACATGAAAATTCTTTAACTCTGTCTACTTCTGACAGCATATCAAATTACTTTAGATTTCACAGTAAATATAATATGACATCCTAACCTCAGGTTCCTCAGGCTCCTGTAAAGCACTTAGTGAAACATAATACATAAGTTTCTCATGAAACTTTGTCAGGTGCTCACTCAGGTCTTCTCCACAGGGACAGTTTTCCCTGTCTTCTCCTTCCAAGTTCTTGAAGCCAAGAATTGCATTCATCTGCAAATAGGTAATATTAATATGATTATTTTGCAATATTTTCATAAAATACATTTCTACACTTGAAAGTTCTGTCAAATATATGATCACTTTTTCAAAACCAATTTTGTACAACTCATATTTGCAAACTGTATAATTAATCAGATTTGGAAGTTTCTTATTTTATTCTTAACAACATGAATTTTAAAACACGATGATTGTAATTTTTCAGTTGTCAATCAACTGGTATATTATTTAGCAAATTTACACAATTATCATAAATTTATCTCTTTACATAGTCACATATATATAAAAACATATAGCTTACAATTGTAACTTTATTCTGTTCTTATGTAGATGTCATAGTTGTTTGTGGCTGTGGATAGGACTGGCAGGTGGAAATGTGTAGGTACCTATGCTTCAGTTGGAATTGAACTCTCATTTTTGCTTAAGAACTACCTTCCAATGCTGACAGTATATATATATATATATATATATATTGAATGCAACTGTGGTATAATGCAGTAGAATGGATAGTATAGGTGTTATCTGTGGCAAATGTATCTAGAGATGATAACTGGTTATTTCAAAGGTTCTACCCATTTGCTGCATTTGAGACCATTCAGAATAATGTACAGTTCCTTATTAATAGAAGGGAAGATTGCATAATGTATGTGGGAAAAGGGTGTATATGCTGGTAATTATGAAATAATTGTTATTAGTGACATTTTTAAAGTGTCTCTAAGTGTTTATTTTGTATCTAAGGACCAGCCACCAACAGTTATAGTTGGTCAGGCTGTGACTGAGCAAAAAATGAATCCATCTTGTTTGGTGGTAAACTATACCAAAAGCGAGGTTAATATGCAAGCTTTGCCAAAACATTTGATCTAGACAGCAGTACCACGAGTAACATACGCTGTTATTCTGTTAGGTTTTCTTCATAAATGTATGTGTAGTTGTCTTTACAGAGTATTTCCAGTCACTAAGTTAGATAATTTTGATGGCATTTATTTTTAACAATTTTCCATTAAAATTTCAATTTACATTATGCTTTTTTATTTACAGACTTTTAGATATGAATTATAAGGATCCTGAAGTAGTGTAATTCTTGGATCTGAGCCTGTTTGGACATATCCAAATTCAGATGAACACTGTATTTTACTTCTTCAGGGTGTATGTCTTATGCAGGGCTTTTCATTTCATTCAGTTAGTACTAAATGTAATGTAATTTCACATGAAATATTTGATTCAATCAAATGGTTCTCATATTTATAATAATAATTTAAATCAATATCGAAGCCAAGAAGACAAGAGAATTAGTTTTTACTTCAATTTATTGAATCAATTAACATTTTTTACTCTTCAGCAAGATTCAGTTCCATAGTCCATGTAAGTTTTTAATTTTATTTGTAATAATTAATATTTAAAAAATTTAGTCCTCTATATTCTTATCTAGTGCATAACTTTGCTTTTGTAATGGACACAAAACAAAAACAGTCAAAACTACTGAAGAACAACATGGTAAATAAAACCATTCACAACATCGTTGTAGTCCTGAAAATAGTGTGTACAGCATGCCATTATGTTCTACGTGAAACTAAGTATCCTTGGTGATCCACATCTTTGTTTGCTTTATGTAATATACTGCTGCACTGTTATGCAGAAGGGAACTCAGCAATGGTGGCAAGTATGAAATCACTTACTTGTTCCCGAGGTGGACATCTGAATTCTCTGGTCTTTTTAGCTGCAACAGCTGATGGCAAGTCAGATTGCTTGATTTCAATGTATCTTCTAAGTTGATCCTATAATGCGAAGAAAATCCATTATAAAGAGTTATCAAATGAAACTAATATACTATTCAGTATTTCACACTTGAATAAATCTATTAATATTCATTAAGCTTTATCAATAATTATTATATTATATTAATACATATCACATTTAAAAATATATATAGTAGAGCCTTTAAATGCTGAAGATTACCAAAAATGTTACTTTAGTCTTTAAAAAACATTTCAGTCTAAGAAATACTTTCCAATAAGATAGGCATGAATTTAAGAAAGTATGATTTGTTTCATTCTGGTCCGTCACACAAATATTATGAAAAAGTTAAATAGTTATGATTTTCTTATTTCAATTATTCATGCCCTTACATGTTTCAGTCTTCAAAGACCATCTTCAGAGGGACACCTTTTACATCAATACAGTTAGAACCACTATTACAGTACATGTTCTAAAAATTAAAATATATACATATAATAATATATGAGGGGGTACCCAAAAGAAACTGAACTTATTTTTTTTTAAACTTATTTATTCAAAT